CTTGATCGATTGTCTTCCAACTTTGAGTATGTTATAACTGAGACAATTCTCTTTCATATATTTCACTTCTTTTTACATTTTGATGACATCATCATGGTCAAAAAAATTGTTTTTTCTGACCCCCACATCTTTCTTTCCTCAAAACGTTGATGAGCCCATATCATCTTAACCATTCGTCATTTTTGAATCATATTAAGTGAGCATAACTCAGGTCAAGGTTGAATGTCATGTACCTCAATTTTCCGTTCGCGCTTTTAAGCGTGCACGTACGCGTGCGTCAAAATTTATATATACTTAAAACCATATATATTTTTAATCAGTTATTGCTCCTTAGGATGAAAGGTGACCCCCAATTTTTATTACATATTCTGAAAGCTTGTGAGTTGTAGATATGATTTTATAGATCATTATGGCTGATCGGACATCGTGACATCATCACATTGCCATCTGAATTTTAAAAAAACTGAATTATTATATATGATAAATATTATGAATGATAATATTAGTTACTCACCAACAGGCGTTTGTCAATGAGAGTTGATGCATATATCTCATGAGTGAACATTTCGTGACATTACCATGCGCACGTGCGTCGTGGCGTGCGAATACGCATAAGTAAATCTTTTAAAATGCTTCAAATTCTTTTTAAAAAATGAATTAGCGTATACTTTGGGCCATTTTCAGCATTTAAAAATTGTTCAATCTGCACCGTGCACACTTCCTCGAGGGTCAAATTGCGGCTGATCACCTAACTCGTCCTCAGTGACGAGTTCAAATCTAGTTTTAATTTTAATTGGTGATTTGCTTCCCTAGTGGATCATCTCTTGTTATTGTCAGAGATGATCTTTTTATTTTTTCTTTCTTGCGATTTTTGTGCGCATGAGCATGAGCTACATACATGACACGTTTGCTTTGGTCTGGAATATTCACAATAAGGTTTTCAATGTGCTCAATCTTGTGTGACGTCATCCACACGCAATTTTGCGTTTTTACATTATCGATCATATCTTACTAACCAATTGTCATTTCTAAATCATATTCAGTGGGCATAAACTTCAGGTCAAAGTTGAATGTCATGTACCAAAATATTTCGCGTGCCCATAATAACAAAATAGTACTAGCTTCACTTTTTTCAGAACTTATTGGGAATATTTTAATTCATCTCTTTACATTTAAACATGTGATGCTAAAAAACAAATCACTGTATTTCTATTTCCAAAATATTTCCATTTCAACACAATTGCATGTAATTTGTTTGTCCGCTACAAGAGTAAAACTTGCCAGTAAGTTAAGCTAGAACATGTCAGGAATTGGCAGGTGTACAAATGATACAATAAAGGCGTTCGAAAAATGAAGTGATTATATTTTGGTGTCCATTATGGACAATTCAAAGCAAAACGTTGCAGATCCGATATCTCAAAAACTAAACAACTCACCTAAATGAAACTTTTGCCTTTAATAGTGTAAATATTTATTTGGTGGGGTCTATATCCACGGTTTGCCTTTCGCTTGATATTTTGAGACTTATACTGTACTACCTTAAAAGCAAATATTGTATTGTAAAATTGTACAGCAGGCCTACAAATTATCAATTAACAGATGGACTGGCCTATAGACGAATTCCGTTTACTTTTATTCTCGCCATTGCATTGCATATTTAAAATTACTTAAAAATTACAAAAAAAAAAAAAAAAATTTAATATTAAATAAACATTTTAAAAATGACTGAAAGTTTTATACAAAATGTATAAAAATTTGCACTAGTTACAAGTCAAAAAGTTGAAAAGA